ACATGAGTTAACATTGTATAACCAAGTACCAGAGGATAAACACAGCCACCGTATCGTGGAATATTAACTCAAAACTTTTCGATTTATTGTTAATAAATAATGACATATTAGTTCTTCATATTGGTGTCGTTATCGCACTGTGCTATTTTTATAACTCCCATTCCCATGTGAATTGAAACAGCAACTCGAAAAGTTATAATTGGGTTGTGCAAAAGTCGAGCACTTCATGCGACTCGCTCAAATAAAACTCTTACGACACGATTCAAACACAAGGATAATAACAAAATTAAGATTCTTTGTCGAAAATACATTATTTTTTTATATGGCAAAATTGATCGATCAAAATGAACCAAACTCGAATCTACAAGAAATAAGTTAAAAATAATAAATAATAAAATGCATTGACTTGGGCTACCGAAAACTCATTATACAGTTTTTATGCTCCTTACAAAGTTACTTTCCTATTTAGTTTATTATTTAAAGAAATGAAGAAGACAGTCTGATGAGTTCTGATAAACTTTTAAAAGAAAGAATTGCTACTATGTTTAATAGTGTTAAGAGGACTTGGAAAACAATGTATTATTATTATTATTATTTTTACTTTAAAAATTAATATGTGCAGTAAAAACAAGTTTTTGTTTTTCACATAAATAATAAAATAACCCATAAACATTTCACATTTAATATACTGTTTCTTCTTTTTTTAGGTATTAAACCACAGTAATTATTATTGTTGTTGTTATTGCAACATCTTAGAATTTTTCAATAAAAAATTTTAATTAAAAACTTTTCTTTGTATACGCTCCCGAAAACAGCTGTTTTAAGGACTGATTTGAGTCCCTAAAATGAGTCTTTTCCGGACTCAATAAAATAGTACGCAAAACGGTTATTTTAGGTACTCAGTCCCCAAAAACAGTTTAGTTTGAAACAATTACATAAACTTATTTAATTATTTTTTAACTTTAGTTAATTCAATTTAGCTTAATTTTATAAGGCTTTTTTGTTTACAATTTAAATGATTCAAACAGCTACAACTATAAGAGTAACCATTAAACTTATAACAATTATTACAATTATTCAACTTTGTTTTCAAGTTGTTTGTACAAAAATTGTTCCTCGTATATATTTGAAAAGTTTTAGCTGAAAGAGCCTGTAGAATGTATAGTTACATCATTAACGAGGCTCAAAATAAATATAATAATAAAAACAGATATTTTTTTAGGTTGTTACAATTTAAATATCTACATTTGTTTATTTATTGAATCCTACATTATTTATTAATTTCTACAAAAATTAAAAAATCTGGTGATATTTTCAATTCATGTGTAATGAAAGCACTCTAATATTAACAGCAAATACTACTTTCGGTCGTTGTTTTTATATGCATTGTGTGTTACAATTGAAAACTGTTGGCGAGCAAATAAAAACTAATGGTTTTATAATGTTTTCAAATGAAAATTGACCGCCGACGTCCGATGAAACTTTTCTCATTTATTTCGCATAATCGTATTGGCAAAGCGTCTGACAACATTTCAAAGGAGATTCTAAACCATTAATGCTCCAGTTTGAAATCAATGTTCTGTTTCTTTTATCTTAGTTCCAGCGCTTCGGAGTGCTTTTTCTCATTCAAATTGGAAGAATAACATCAACAAGAGCACATCGCCTGCTAACACGTCAACTTGAACGAGTGGTGAGATTTAGCGTCCTTTGGGGCCGAGCTGATGGTTATATCGAGGAAACAATTACTTTGCTCTGCCAGTGAAATTGCACGCAAGAAATGAATTCATAACGACATATTGATCGAATTTTGCCTTGATACTGCAGGTCGGCCACTTTTCAGTCGTGAGAAACATGCATTCTCCTCTTTCTCTGGTTGTTTGTCGAGACGGCTAATTGCCCAAGGATTCACCCCATCGCAAGTTCTGCATTCGTGACATGAAAGAATTATCTGGAACTAATGAAGATTTAATTTGCGAAAAGATGTAATTGCTTATGGCTATTACAGTAATTTTCTTTAAATTAGCGTGAATCATACGGTTTTGTAGAAATCGATTTTGGGCAAACTTGACTCTCAAATCATTAATACCCATTAAAATACCCATAAAATAAAAATTTTATTTTAATTAGTACACGACCCTCGTAGACTTTGAATTAATGTAACTACCCAGAAAAAAATGATGTAGACGATAAAAATACTTTGTTCTATGAAAATAAGTTTTAGTATAGTAGTCATTTTTTACGTCCTAAACCCTTTACTTATAAATCATTTAAAACATGTTTCATAATTTTTTTTTATTTATAATACAACTTTTTCAAGAGAGGTACACAAAAATTTGCACTTATTATTATGGATTCTTTTTATTACAACTTTTTCAAATTATTATTAAAATTATTTTTATTATACAAGCCGATAAAGAAATTGTTTATCTACGAGTGAAAAGGTAGAGTAGAAAAACAATCTTTATCGTCGTGTATAATATTTCGTTTTATTTTGTACTCACCTACCAAAATTTCTTAAATATAAACAGTAGATAAAAATCACTTTATTGTACTAGACGATAAAAGACTACTTTCTATACTGAAATTAGTTGATAAAAGTACTTTTTAACATTGAGTACAAAAAATATAAATTTATTACAAAAATCTCTAATTAACTTTGTTTTTAAATAATATTTAAATATTTATTTTATTTTATTAATAAGAAATACAAAAAGTGCTTGGCACTAGTGGGTGCAACTATACATACGAGTATAAGACATCAAGTTAAAATTTGTAGCAAAACTTTTGCCATAACTTAGTTCTATCGAGTCTGAATTAGAGTTTTTGGTTTGATGGATAAAACGCTTTAACTCACTAAAATCCTCTTAGCATGTCTATCCCAAAAAGCAGAAGTGGCGTTTTTTCCGTCTTGTTAAATTATTAACTAAAGAAATATGTGTTATGCACATACAAAGTCAAGAAACACCTGACGCCATTTTAACTAACTTTGAGATAAAATGAAAGTGTTTCATCCTGAAACGACACGTCTTAGGTAAGTATTTTGTCAAGTCGTGATGATCTCTGTAAATAATTTGTATTGCTATTACCTATAATAAATTGTGCTAAAATTAACTTGTAACTTATAAAGTATTTATTGAACAAGTTGTGGAGGATGCCAGTTTCTTCCTACACCAACAAACCACAATTCAAGAATGGTAAATGGATCACAAGCTTCTTTTCTAGAATGCTTGCATTTTTTGCGTGTTGCTACCATCATAATTTAGCAGTCACTTTATATTACGTAAATTACACATAACATTATAACAAATTTAAGAACGTACATTTTATATTATACGAAACAATGACTACAATTTATTTTACATTAAATGACAAAGTTTTTTGATTTATTTTATAATAAATGTTATAATAAAAATACTGTTTACTCGTTGAAGCAAATGAAACGCAGTTTTTTGCTTTTTAGATCCTAACACATAATTGAACTCGTTGTGATGCCACCCCTACAAAGTACCAACTCCTTTGAGTCGACTGCATGTATGAAATTAAATATCTTTGTAGAATAAGCTAGAAATCTGCAAAACATCATTTTCTTCAAGTTAGAGTTATAGATGCATGCTTTGATGTGGAAATATTTAATTAATGTAATCCTACATAAGCTTCTAAAGCATAATCTGCAATGCAAAACTTACGTATTACTTGTTTCTTGTTATATTTTTAATGTAATACTAGGTAAAACAAGATACAAAAATATCCCTCCAGTGTGCAGAAATGCGCTTTATAAAATAGTGAGTTTTAAGTTTAATACCAAGAGAATATGCAGTACTCATCTATTTATTCAATATTCAAAAATAAACACATTATTGACTGGATTCTAATCAACGTCACCTTAAAAATAGTAAACGCAGAGATCCATCAAATCCATTGAATGTTGATAAATTGAAATATAAATTATTCTATAAACTGTTTTTGTACATTATAATTTTGGGCGTTAGATATTTTACTGCGTTCAGTTTTATTATAGCACTCAGCTTGGCTTCGTGCTTGAATGATGCACAAAAACCAAAGAAATTTTGCACACATTCAGAATTATTGATCAACATATTTCAAAGATGACATACAAAAAGAAAAATACTATTAAAAATTTTACAAATAATTTCCAAAACTCAAAAAGCTTTAAAAAATAGTTATTAAATTTAATAGGTCACAAAAATATGTTTTGTACCCTCAACGGTTTTACTTTGCTTTTTAATTTAAGTTTTTGGTTCAAAAACTCAAAAAACCTTTAAAAAATAGTTATTACATGTAATAGATCACAAAAATACAGTTTTTCACACTATTATTAGTTATTACTTATTAGAGTGGAATTATCTGGAATCCAGGACATTAATATGTAGGTACTTAAAAGCTTATATTATTTTTAGATAAAAGTGCAGTTTTAATAAAAATTAAACAGTCGCCTAAATTTTGTAATAATACTTAATATGATATTCCAGGCAATAAAAAATTGTATATTTTTAACATTATTTTGCATGATTTAAAAAAAATATAAACTACAGTATAACAAATTAATAAGCTAAAGAGAAACCAGGGAGTTTTAATAAACGACAAATGCATGTTATAAGCTTAAATTAATTTATATGAATCTGCTTCTAAGCTGAGAGCCTTTTTCCAACCGCACTGTTATGATGACAACGACAAGTAGCTAATGCGAAGAAGTCATTAGCACCCGACAATGTAGGTTTTTTTTCTGGTTTGTTTGCTGTAGTTTTTCTCCGACACGTTACACTTGTCGCATTGCTCTCGGAACTTTTATTTCCGTTGTATATGTATTATAATGTAAGTTTGCTTATTAGGGAGAGTAAGCGCAACAGTGTGAGATTGTAGCGCATGGTGGCCGACGCATAGCACCGCGACGGCCGCGTCTATCTTAGCGGCGCGTTCTTGTTTAAAATCGATGGTAGTTAGAAACGACGCTCAGTTACCGACGCTCGCTCACTGGGACCGGAACTGTTACTAAATTATCCGTTAAAGTCGTGACATGTTACACGTTCGTTTTCAATACGGTGAAATATAGCTCGTAATTTATCTGTGAAGACAATCACCGCGGGAAGACAAGGTAAGTGTCGTCGTTCCAAACAATAAAAAGCGTCAAAGGAGGGTTAATTAAAAACAACTGCTTGCTCAGACACTTTAGATCTTTTGTTGTAAAAGAAAGTAATGATAGTTTTAATCGTTTGATGTTCATCAATAAAACATCGCCATCACATTAAGGAACTCATTAAATTCTTTCCGCGGTCTCAAAAGGACTCACTAACAATGGAAAACGTCGGAAAGCAGAATACGTTATTTACGAGGAAAATTAAATGATTTCCCAGTTTCCCACGTCACGGAACGTACTTTTCCTCACCTGGGAGGATTGTTACGAAAACTTGAAACGTCTTTTTAATCTCGCATGCAAACAAGTTCTCTCAACCAACTTTATAAAGTTAGCTGCGCTGTCTAATACAGCATTAAACATATTTCATAATATTCATTAGATGCGCAAAATAACTGTCGCAACCTTTGTTTAATATTCCTAGATGTTATACCGAGGCAAGATCTTTAATTATCCAAAAGCTTGAATATGAACAATGCCATTGTAAACACCACTGTGACATTTCTTCCCGCTACTTTTTATTCAGAGAAGAAAAGCTTCGCGATACTAAGAATAAGGAAATATTCTTGTTCTTTTAGATAGAAATATTTAAACCGATATTAGCTTAACCAAACAAAGAATATAATTGCTTGTCTTTGTGTTGGCTTTAAGGAAGAAATTTTTAATGCATTAGTCAAATGTAAACGAAATTATCTTAATCTAATTTATCAAAGTGATATTTCATTTTTCTTTTTTTCTTTTGCTTTCCTAACATTGTAATTTCCACATAAAATGTAAAGTGTGGTGGGTATATGGTATATGATGGTAGGTTAGCTAAATTGTATCAAAATCAAGAGATTTTTTAGGTATTATCTTTTCGTAAAGTGGAAAGTCTATTATTATGATACATTATTTTATGTATAAAGCAAGGGAACATGAGATCAATATGTTATAAAAATATTATTTATAATAATTTTGTAATTATATAGTTTCAATGTTTAGAAATTTCACCAGTCTAATATCAGTTCAGTGGATGAAAAGTTATTCTTTTGAAGCAAGCCTGACCAGGTAAAAGTGCAACCCAAAAAACGATTTATAAAGCTAACATAAAACATACATAACCTTTAACGTTAGCCTCATAGATGTCACAGTATAACAGAAAGAAATACTTTTCTTAGCAAAATATACCTAATCTAATAACATCAATGAATAATAAATTAAAATCACAAAAAAATGGGTAGGTACGGTACAAATACTTAACAAATTCTAAAGTAAGTGTTCAAAATTCCTTCCATCGGTAACTGTTATTTCATTTTCGGAACAAGTGGCAGTTCTAGTCCTTGCTCTTTTACAAGCAAACAATTGAAAGCAAGCAAAATATCAATTAAAAACCTCTTCACATAGCACGTTTTTAATTGTAATTGTTATCAAAAGATATGTTCAAACATAGTACGTACCTGCATATAAGTACAGGCTGTTCGAAAATGTTTGTGCATCAAGTCAACTACTAGAATACAGAAGTTGTCCCACCTAAGACTTTCGAATATCTCTGTTATTTGCAAACAGATTCTAACGAAATTAAAATGTAAACTATATAGCAGGTAGAAATATGTACATATCGCATTACCTACTAAAACAATCCTAGCTCCTAAAATGTGATTTTAACATGGCTTTTGAAAATCCTAAAATTACTTAAAATTTAAATCAAATTGTTAATCGCCAATAAAAAATGCCATAAGCAAAAATCTGTTCTTGAAAGAGGTCCTGCTTACAAAGTGGCTGAAAATGCAAAAACATGAACGGCTATAAAAAAAATTAACAATATTACCGAATTTTGGTCATCCCTAACTGTCGGATGGCAATGACATTTATATGTGACGTTTATTGTCCATCTAACTTCAAAATGTTAACGTAATTTAGGATCTGCATTTATTGGACTAACCAGTTCAATAGGTACAACAAGAGATGCTCGAAAGTATGTACATACCACCTTTGGCATCAATGATTCCAACAGTTTTACAGATGTTCTAACTTAATTTACCACAGGTTTTCATAGTTGTACAAAATGGTAACTTGTAGACGTTAAACTATTGTTTGAGTTAACTTTAATAATTTTTTTTCAAAAATTAAATCAAAATTTTAACAACTTAAGAGAGATCTATTTTTAGTGCTTAACAACATAATATGTAGTATTTTTGCTTAATTTTAAATTGAGAATAAAGTATGTGTTAAAATTATTTTTTTATCTTGAAATAATTTTATTAAAACTTATTGAATCTCCAATTTCTATAAGTTGCCTATATTTTAAATTTCATAAAAATCCGTTAGCAAATAACAGAGATATTACATCCACAAGTCTTACGTTAGACACCCTGTATAATTTTAATGTTATATGCCACATCGTTAACTTTGCTGTCGTTATAACAAACCTGACAAATCAATACAAAGAACTTCAAAACCAATAACGACAGAACACAACACAACAAAGTAGGTACGAAAAAACATAGATTTGAAACAATTTCACCAATCAATGCAAACGTGTGATCAAAAAGCTACGTAAGCACGTAATGTGCCACGTGTACATTAAATTTGAATTCCATTGCTGATTTGATGCACTAACGTTTCTCAACACTCTGTATATACCCACAAACAGCATTATTTAAATTTCGGACAATTAAAATGTACAAAATCGTGTACATACTTACATGTAAAAGTTATAATAAGCACATTTCTGTTTACTCGTATAGTTGATGTGGAAATTAAAGTTGATGGTGATTTTACGAGGTTCCTGATATTAACTCAAATATTAACATAAATACTGCATTTATAATTATTGTTTGGAGAATTACGACATCATTTGCTATATGCAATTTTATTAGAAAATTAATGTGTCAACTTTAAATGCAATTTTTCGTTTCAGCAAAATAAAACAATCCATCTTAACTGTCTGAGATAAGTTACGTGCACAAATTATTTAGAAAAACGTTTTTCATCAGATGAGGCGGACATTTTAAATGAACACATCATTCTTATGTGCCACTAATAGGTACAAATATAAATATCATTGATTTTTTTTTAAATTGTTTTGATACAAAATGGTTACATGCAAAATAACTCCTTTTTCTACAAAACCTTTTTTCACCCACACAAAGGTTTCAGAATGACGTGTATACTTAGTTAATAATGGATTAGCATAATCTCACATTTTTTCAACGTAGAGTGTGTCGTGATTATCATAGTAATTAAAACGCCACGGAAATGAAGCTCCTCGTAATAGTCTATGTATGATATTTTAAGGGTGGCTTTATTAACATCGCTTTTATAAACTATACATTATTCTCTTTAAGCAGACATAGTTAAGATTTTATCTAAAATAGAGCATGCACAAATTATAGGACACCCATACATTGTTTAACGATTTTTTCAAGAAGAAAAACTGAAGTCTAGTTCAATAACTGTTTCTTGATTGGCAGATGTTTTTTAATTCTCTATCTGTTTAGAAATAAACGTCTTGCAAATAACTCTCTTGGTTTTCTTTACGTTTATTTTCTCACATCAACAGAACTTGTGCAAAGTTCATTTCTACTTAGACTATCCAATCTTCATTATTGTCTGCTTACTTTAAATGTTTGCAGCTATAATCTTTACGAGTACTGAAACCAATTGTGGATTCTAATAAGAAAACAGTCTTCTTCCACTTAATTTCCATTTTTTTACAATAACGACTAATTAGTTCGTCTACTTCTATTATTACAAAATTTACAAATTACTTCTAATAAAATCTATAACGATTACGGATTATATTCATCAACTGGAATTTTTTCATCGATTATTAGTTCCGGCTTTCCATTCCACCAATAATTTTGCATAATTTGTTTTTACAGAGTAAATTTGTGCATTTTATTAAAAATTAGCATTTATGATGAGATGGAGAGATTGTAATTCACTAACACAATAAAAAAAAACGTTTTGTAAAAAATGTTAGGTGTACCTACTGTTTTAAATTATTTATTTATTAATTTATTCTTTTGAGTCAATAATGAACACAGTATTTGAGAAATATTATTCTCTTTAAAGCTTTCTGATTTTAGTACGAAAGTACTATTACTAGGTACAACACTAAAATTAAGAAATTTAGTACTTGTATCATCAAAATTAGAAGCCACTGCAATGCTTTGGCCACTAGTTACCAGAAATACTAAAAGGTAAACACTTCAAACAAATTATTGTTTGTCAAAATAAAACATTTACCACTACCTAGAAGTTTGGATCGGAAAATTTGACAGTTAAACTTGACTTTATTGGAAAAGTGTAACATTGCTCAAATTTTCAAAAGATTTAAATTGAAATTTAAAAATTAAGTCACTACCATTACGCAAAACTCTAAATCATTTTATATAAATACAGGCTGCGCCAGAACTCGCGCCCCAGAGAAAAAATAAGGTAAGACACCAGAAACATGGAAAAAATGTGAAAAACAATTTATTTATAAAAATTTCGAAGTTATCAGAGTTTAAATTCTACATTTTGACTCTATTTATTTTTGTTGAAAAAATAATTTTGCAAGATTTTTTGCTACCGGTTATTAGAAGAGGAAATCCTAAATTGTAACTCTGTTCAATGTTATTTGTCGCTTTTATTGGCAAAATTTTTGTACCTTTACTAAATAATTGTAAAAAAAAGATATACAAGATAATCAGTATCATTCAATCGACATAAAAAAATGTAAAATGTCAAAAAATAAATGTCAAAATTTTTTGACAGATAGAATTTTTTAAACATTTTTTTCATGTTCCTGGTATCTTATCTTATCTGAAATTTTTCTCCAAATAAAAAATATAGGAATAATTTAAATGGATTCTTATTGAATTGTATTTTCTCCAAATTGTGACCTTACATTTATTTATTAGGTTTTGTTATGAATAATGAAATATTTCTGTTGTTCTTGTTATAATGTTTCACTTATTCTAAGTGGATAAACG